CATTTCAAATGAATAGTCAGCTCAATATAATGTCTGCCTTGTCATTGTTTTTTTGTTTGCGAGTAGAATATTTGAAACTGACGTGGATTCCACGTCGTGGAAAAGTAATTAAATTGTGTCCTAAGCTCTGTTTTTCTGCGCGATAACATTCATTTTTGTTCTATAAAAGCCGTATTTTAAGCAAATATAGCTATAACCAATTGGAGCTTCAAGATGAATTGTGTTGCAAAAGTTGTTTTATTCGCTTTAATTGTAAGTGCCTCAAAATTTATCAAGAGTTGAAAATTCTAAAATATTTTTTTGTATAAAAAACACATTTATTTACTGTAATTTATCGAAGTTTTTGTTCACAGTATATCATCTTAATAATGAGATTCTTTTACCATTTCTTTTAAATCACCAGGTTTTTTTGTCGTATCAAAAATGTAGCGGTTATGGGTAAGACCTCAATTGTACAGTTTTTCGGCTTGGTACTCATAAATTTGCCATAATTAAATTTTTTCAAAGTGATTTTTTTCTCATTTTACTTTTCAATCATTCAAATTAGAGCTCGGGGATTTTTGTTTTTTGTCCAATGCCATAATATGAATAAATAAATTTGTTTTTTGAGAACTAAGAGAATTCGACGATTAAGAAAACGTTATTTAATAAAAAACACTGATTGTTTCGCAATAAAATGAATTATATCTAAAATAGAAAAGGACCGAATAAAAAAGTGCCCCTTTTTAATTTTTCAAAAATTCGATAGGCAGCGTAGATGTAGTAATATCCTAGGATATTTCCTTCAAAATCATAGAAAATGAAGAGATGATTTTAATTTGTCGATTAAAAAAAATCATTCGATCATTTTATTTTCTTTTGCGGAAAAAATATATATTTTATCATTTGTGCTTAAAATTAACAATAATTGCCCTAATATTAGTCCTAAACTCGTCGTCACTCGTCGTCTCTTTTCAGTATAATTCATTAAATCACGTAATACAATTTGTATATCATTCTTTCTTCCGTTTTCTTAACCATAATTTGAAATTTCTATGGATTTTCACTCAAAAGCTCATGGCACACATTGAAGCTACAAGCTACACACATTACTTTCAAATTGTAGTTTTACTGCAGCCACACTGTAACTCCAAGTAAATAAGTATTTTTAATTATTTAAATTCTCCATTGAGCAGGGCCACGCCTACTAGATATGACCCCAAATTAAATCTCAGAACTGCATCAGTGCATGAAATTTATAAGAATGCCATGCTCACCGAAGACGAATCATACAGAACAAGAGCTGGAAAGGCTCTTACAAGTAATAATATTGTTTTCTGAAATTTGTTGTTTCTTTGCGTGAAGCACATTATTCCATTTTTTTCAGATAAATTAAAAGGCAAAACAATTAAATATATGTTCGGACCAAGGGATGAATTAGATGATGGGGGAATTCCGAACACATATCATGTATCGACCGAGACAGTACTTTGCGAAGTTCTTGACTTATTGGATGTTAAACTTGACACCGTTGAAGTAAACTGGACATCATTCACATGTCAGAGAGATCTAGGCGAGGCAATAGAATTCTTTAAATCACATGGAGACCGTATCAATAACATTAATGGTCCAGATGGAGAGAGCCTTTCAAAAAAAGCACCGTCACTTTGTAAAATTTTATAACACTTGGATGGTATTTTTTGATGACAAATTGTATGAAAAAGTCCATCGCTCGAATGAATCATCAATTTTTAAATAGAATGGATTTAGCTTGTCGGATTTTGCTAGGATTTTGTTTCTCTCGGAGTGAGAAATATTTTGTGCAAATCCATAATTGGGAATTTTTGTGGGTTTTCACTCAAAAACTCAAATTGTGGATGCAGACTGAGTTTTTCGGTGAAAATCAACAAAACTTTCATACTATTGGATTGAACAAAATATTTCTCACTCCGAGTGAAACAAAATCCGACACGCCTAGTATGCAAAATAAAAATGATTGTATGTTTTTTGCATGTAATATTTGTTGATTATTTATTGGTTGATTTATATCGAATTTTTGTGATTTCATTATTTGATTATCAATAAAATTAAATTTAAATACCATCAACTACATAACGCGTTTGTTTGAGAGAGCATTAAAACTAGATTAAAACTGATCAAACGTTTTACTATGCTTAAAGAAAAGCGATAAAATTATCAACTGTCGGTATAATAATAAAATAATAATTGGATAAGCACATTCACATTCACATTTTCCATTTCATTTTCAAATTCAAATCACATTCATTACAGAGAGAGAGAGACAAAACATTTTGGTTTGTGTATAAACTATTCCACCTAGCGCAATAAAAATTGTTCATAAATTTCGAACAGATGTTGAGATAAAAAGCTACAAAGTTTTACTCAATCATGTCTAAAATCAATTCCTTATTTATAAATATTATTATTATTATTAATTTAAAATAGTATATCTTAATTTGTCGTTTATTAACTTCGGCCATCGATGTGTTTTTCGTTGCCGGTGGCTGGTGTTGCAATGGTCGTTCGCAGATGCAATGGTCTAAGCGATTTCAATTGTGTTGAACTGTATTTGAAGTTGACGTCTTCACAATTTCCAAACGGATGACTATCGGCCGCAATTTGTTCAATTGCAATGGAATTTTTTTCAACAATACTGGTGATACTGTTCTCTTTCGGTGATAACGGTGTCGCGAAACCACTGTCCAAACCATCGTTATTACGTAGTGTGTCTTTCAATATACTACCCTCACTAATTTCATTGTGTGACTTATCGATGGTTGTTGGCGGCGGAATATTCTCATCGGCAGCTGTTTCAATTTTAGATACAATCAGATTTGGTCGATTGCGTGTACTTTGCTTACGTATCTGATTGTATGTGCTTTCAAAGAATGTTGATTTCGGTTTGCCGGTGTCATGGCCCTCCAATTCTTCGAGTATTTTCGTTGGGAAACCGAGTTGTGAGTTTATTGACATTGATTTACCAATTTTACGTTCCATAAAGATTGGCTTCTTTCGTTGTGCATTTAAATTGCCAATTTGTTGTAAGATCCGTTGAACATCACTCGGCAACATCTCTTCAATAGCACTATTCTTTTCGGCCAACTGCAACATGAATTGGCCCAGTGTTTCTACAGTTGTTTCCAAGTTTTGCACTTGTATTTGAAGTGATTGAATTTGTGTTTGTTGCGATGTTCGCGTCTTCTCTAGCTGGGTTATACTTGATTCTGCAAACTATATGTATGAAGAGAGAAACGAAATTAGTTTTTTTTTATAATTTTGAAATCGAAGACATGATATGAAGTGTCAAGTTACCTGCAACTTTGATTCCAATTGTGAATAATTTTCTTTTTCACGATTCAATGTTTCCATGTAGTGCTGAGATGTGGTAATTTCTTCTTGAAGCACATTATATTCCACTTGGTATTCAATCAGTTGCTTTTTGATATCCATAGTGAATACTTCTTTCAACACCTTATCCATTGTTGTGGCATCAATATCGGGCACAGTGGTTTTCATATAGTTCATAATGTCTTCGAAATTTTCACGTTTCATGAGCTCATATTGATGTATTTCCAGCAATTTCATTGCCACACGAAATACGACCTCCGATGATTCCAAGAACAGTAAATCTATATCGATTCAAATAAGCATTGAATTTAAACTCTTCACAATAATTGATATTTTTGTTACATTTACAATACATACCAAAGACACGTGTTACAAAACCCAACGGAAATTGTGAACTAAAAATGGTTAGAATCCATGGAGCGGCATACAAAGTCGGAGAAACATCATTTGCATCAAGCCATTTGTACAAATCGGGTAGTTGATCTCGAATTAAACGTGATAATTGATATAATTGTAATTGGAATTGCTTCATATCGGGCAGGTAGTTTGCTCTCATTTGACGACGGAACATTAGATGTTTCAGTAGATTAAACGCTTGCTCCTCTTCACACTAGACAAAGTAAACAAAATGCTTTAGTCAAATACCATCACGTTTGAAAATTATAATGAAAACAATGACTCACATGTAAAAGTAGTATGCCACAAATAAAGCCTAGGCCTTGACAATATCCAAGTTCCGGGTCTAAGATACTGTATGCTTTGAGTACGTTGAAAAGTGACAGTTGGCCAACGCCAAGTGAGTCTTTGTAGTACTGATGATTTGGGAAGGTTCGTCCCAAATCGATGAAAATAGCATGTTGGTGTTCGGTTAGACTCTTCAATAGAACACTGTAAGGC